TACAGTGTATATTATGTGTAAGAATTTGAATTTAAATTCAAATATTTGTCTATCTTTTTTAGATTTTCTATATTGTAAAAATACATGTTTTCAATTAATTTGATTGTTAAATTCTCATTCCAATTTATCACAACTACTTGAAAATTAGATGATGACATAAACTTAGGGAGAGGGCATTCTAAGTTGGAAGAACTTGTCCCCCAATCCCGTTCACTCCTTGTGAATAAATATGTTTAAATCACATCAATCAAAATAAACTTCTCATAAAACGTCCTTGAACCTGTGCTTGTCTAAATCAAATCAGGCCATGGAGGAGACATGTTTAATTGCATTGTGATTAGATTTTAGCGTCACGCACACATTCTTTCCATGGCTTAGGGGTGTTTTAAAACAACCGGTTATAGTTGAATGAAGTACCTCTTATGCCATACATTACATTTAGCTCTGGAAATCTACATAAATCTTTTATTTGGTTAAAAACACAACGTGTATACAAATTCTAATAATATAATCTAGAAAATTAATTTATGATTATACTATAATGATTGCATTAGAATTCCATTAACAACATTTCCTCTTTTACATGTTTGTTTTATTAGTTCCAAGCATCTAATGTGTCTTTCGCATATGGATTTTGGACATCGGATTGGATTAGGGATATACACCCCCACTCCTATGCTACAGTAGCCAGCCTTAATCGATTGAGGGATAAGGTGTTCGAGAAAAGGTGAAGACGGTAAATCGTTTGACAGCTGTGACCGACTGTTGGTCAAGATCCATGGCAATGTCATCTCCGGTCATGCTGGACAGGCAGCGTGTTGTCTGACGGACAATGCCCTTACACGAGCTCAGTGTCCTGTGCACTGAGACAACAACTTTGATATTGACAAACTCTTTTATTTTGAGAAGATTTACAGATTGTTGTCTCCACGCACATTCTACAAGGAGAGAGCCAGAACGAAGCTTGGCGACATTTGTAACCTCGCCTCAGATACCAATTCGATTGGTTCTTTGTCTGAAAGCTTCGATTGCCAAGAAACGTGGCCAATAGTCGGATCGATTGGATGTGCCGTCGTTAGACGAGGTATTGTCAGTATCTGTGTATCGTCTTTTTGAACCAGGGGGTTTGGAAGCCATGTTGAAAGGAAAATATTTCAGCACCCCTTTTCCCCACCCACTATGGGTCTGCAAGGACAGTCTTATACTGCAGCGGATTTCCAAGCTGCAAAGCCCGAGGATAAAGGGGTGGTAACCTCCAGCAAATTTGACGCGAAAAACTATAGCTATCTGCCAAATTTAGGGTCAGGCTGGTTCGGCCCATGAAAATTAATTGGAGACGTACATAATTCGGAGGTCAGCATCACCAGATTGGCCAATGAGCCAAAACCTTCTGGGCATAGCGCTCTAAGCAAGTGTTTTTTTTATAGATTGATAGATATGAAACATTTAAAATAGATTTAATTTTAAATACCAAAAGTGTGCGTGAAATAGTTTATGCACCGAGCATGACATGACCAAGTCGATTGATAGAATCAGACCCATTCTACCGCCCGTCTAGTTAGGGTCGAAGTGGTGTGTTGGACTAAGGAGCACTATTGTCGGCTCCGTCGTCCTCAACCACCAGACTGCCCAATTCGGTCGCCTTTCACGACCAGCAATGGGGTGCTGAGGACACATTCTTGTTTATCTTCCCCGGGTCCCCACGGGGAGCTGTTCATGTGAAGTGTTCACGCTCAAGTCTGTCTGGCAGTTTATTGACGATGGTGTTGATTTACAGGCTGGATCAGAGTGTGTTCTCTCGATAGACGCACATGTTTCTTTTGGTTTTGTAGTTTGAAAAACTTATTTGCATCTGCAAAACTGATGTTTCTTGTGAAATATATTTTATTGATTTCCATTTGTTGTTTCAAGATTCTTTTGAGAACAAGGAGTGACCCTTGAGCAAGTGTTGACAACCTGAATGTCTTTTTGGCATTAGGAGCATCTCAGGATTAGGAATGTAGATTTCAACATTCATATTGCAGTAACCTGCCCTTGCTGATTTGGAGCTTTTTGAGATGAAAAAGAAAAGAGGAATGCGCTAGATAGTTGAGAATTGTTCCGGGTTGAGGATCTTTTCACAAACAGACACCTGTCTCGCACAATTTCTTTACTCATGTTGAGAGTCCTGTGAGCGGAGCCTGATCTCAATCTTGATGTTTTTAACCTCACCTACAATGCCATGAACACCCATAGATATTGTAAACCAGTGAAGATCCGTGGCAGAATGGGTCTTCTTTTGGTTGATGCATGTCATCGTAGCTCCGCTGATATTTGCTGAGTGTGGCGTTAAACAACAAACAAACCAAACCAAACCAAAGATATTGCAAACGGGTTCAATTAAAGAGGTGGCTTGTCCATTGTCTCAATCACAAGGAATCGTGTTCAATATGCTATAGATTTTGGAGGCCACTGTTCATCATCATTATCTAGTAGACGTTTAATTTTTTGGGAGGGTCTATCTATAGTCATGTGGGTATGTATATTGTTTCATCATCCGGGCTGCCCATCCACCATGTATTATCATAAAGACAATAGTAATAAGTGGGTTTCCGACTTGCAGCACCGAGGATACTCAAGTAGAATAACCAAGACAGTAATTATTCCATTAGATTGGTCCATGACTCGGGGCATACGACTCTAGGCAAAGTAAATACCTGAAACATGGCCATTGGAAATTTGATATCGATTGCTATAAACAAACAGGTCCAAACATCAAGTCCAAAAAGACCGGAATACAGTTGGTGCAAGTACAATGACTAATGTACAGGGCTTGGCGCGAATCATAGGACCGGGGCCATCCTTGAGAGGAGATATGTGTCGTTATTGTGTTTCAAGTTTCAAGACTGAACCAAGTCGTTTGAGATGTCACCACATCTTGTATCGATCTTGAGAAGTTAAGTAAATGGCTTGTGTATAAAATCCTTCTCATGTCATTTCTTCCCAGGAGGCAGCCGACCAACACCACACATTAACAGTATCTTTAGAAATTTTGTCACAACTGAACAACCTTTGTCAGCCCAAACGAAAAACTACAACTGAAAAATATGTTCATTTGTAAGGTCATCTTTATATTTGATATCATAATTAGTTTTTGTGAGCGTTGAGTTGAGAACAATACTTAAAGAAACTATGAATCACAAAAACCTGGACAAAAAGGCAATGTATCTGTTTCATCTTCCTAATGTTACAGTGCAAACCATTTCAATGCCTTCATTTAAATCTTCATTCATCTAAACTTCCTAAATGTTTCAATATGATTCCAAAGTCACCGAAATTTTATATCCCCTTTGTGACCCGTGAAGATTCCGGGGTAGAATAGGTCTTCAGCAACCCTTGCTTGCCGTAAAAGGTGACTGCTTGTCGTAAAAGGCGACTAACGGGATGGGGTGGTCAGGCTCGCTGACTTGGTTGATGCATGTCATCGATCCCAATTGCGTGGATCGATGCTCATGATATTAATCACTGGCATGGATTGTCTGGTCCAGACTCGATAATTTACAGACCGTCGTCATATAGCTGGAATATTGCTGCTGAGTGCGGCGGTAAACAACAAAGCAACCAACCAACTATCCCCTTTGTACACAACTACGAATAACATAAACTTGGGCAAAACGGAAAAGTATCTATTTCATCATCATAAGACAGTAAACGGCCCAAAGTGAATGAGTTACTACGACAGTCATTACTGATCCAGCTTTTCCATGGTATCTGGACGCACGCGCGAATACGGAGTTAGCGTTGGGCGTCTCAACGTGCGTGATTCCCGTGCACCCTTTCGAGTTGAGTTGATTGGTTCAACTGTGTCATATGGCCCTGTGACGCAGGGGTAGCATTATGCAAATGGCTGTTTCAATGAATGCACGTTCCACCCGACACTATCAGGTCTGGTTGTTGATGAAATATAGTGATAGCTAAATAGACAGATTTTTTATTCATGCACCGATTGTCTTTAAATGTAATTTCCAGTTATGTATGTTTAATAATCTCATACCAACTTTGACTGGAGTAGGTCCGATAGTTTTTCAGATATTGTAGTAAACGTCGGTACCTTAAATTACCTTCCAGACTATACAAGAACTGGTTACTAGGTACAAACTCAGTCAGACAAACCAGTCAGACAAACCAAAACATTTGCTATCAGCTTTTACGTTAACTGTTGTTTGCAACGCACAGTGTTATGGTGACGGAATGCGCATTTTCCGTTGTTTGAGATGAAATGACGTGAGCTTGTGATTTCTTTTTAACTGTATTGCATTATCAAAAGACGTGTGTTAACCCGGTTATTTTACCTTTACTTATTATCCCCCGCCCAACAAAGTTGGCGGGGGATATAGAAACGGGCTCCGTCCGTCCGTCCGTCACGTTTCGTTTCGTTTCCGGAGCATAACTCATAAACCGTTCAATATTTTTGTTTTTGTTTTCATCAAACTTTGCAGGTCTGTCAGGTACATGCTGAACTGGTGCCTTTTGCTATTTAGAAATGTTAGAAAGTTTTATTTTTTACGTTTCCAATATGGACTTGGGTTCCAAACTCTTCCTTTTTTACAATTTCCATGACAAGTTCCACCTCGGTTAAAAAAGATTAGGGTTTGTTTAGATTTAATTATGTCATAAATTCTGCAACAGGGGCGGGGGATATAGCCACGTTAGTGGCAAACTCTTGTTAAACATTCTTTTATAACAATGTTATTAAAACTTGTTGACTATATATGAACTAGGTAGGGACTGAAGGATTGTAGTTCAAGATCGTCAGCTCATGATAAGATCAAACGCAACACACAAAGCACAAAGCAAACACCGTCAATGAGCTGACCACTCTGAGAAGGCCGATAAATAGTTTCTCATCACCTTTATCAAATGGGTAGGTACATGTGTTGGTTGTTTTTAAATTCCATTTTTAGTTCGATTTCCCAACTACTCTAAAGTAAGACCACAATTGTACTAAATGTAACAGAGTATAAGAAATTCCATATTTGTAAAATTTAATTTCAAGTTTTCAGGATGGGTTACTATACAAGTAATCCGTAACTGATAATAGCTCTATACAATTCAGTATCGGGAACGACAGTTGGATGTACATATGCTGATGTCCGCTCGGATGTCCAGGCATTGTAGCCCCCCCATCATCAGACAGCATCCCCTGCATTGCATGTAAATCTGCTGCATTTCCAAGCGCTCGGAGCAAGTATTCATGTATTGGGCAACTGGCGCCTAGGAGCCAGTTTCTTCTTATGCGACACGCAATAGAACTATAGCTATATGACTAATGTGTATCTTCTTACAGAGAGTGACAGGTATTTATTACTCCCAAGATTATAATTATCAGCGTTTAACACCAGCTCGCCGGAACTCTGATTTAGAGGTTACAGGGTGCTCTGATTGGTAAACTAATACTTTTGTGATTCTAGTTTACTTTTCCAAATGTTTATGTCTGACAATTAAAGAAGAATGTTATTATGATATGTTATAAATCTCTTCTTATATAATTTAATCATCAATCTTTCTACCTCATCGAGCAGAGCCGCTTTTATTTGAAATGAGAGAGTAACCAAATGTAATTTTGACATATTTCATTTCTCTTTAAACATGAAGAAATCATCTAACCTTAATCATGACCACAAACATCTCACCTACTGCGCGTGAGCGCCATGGGACACAAGAAGATCAAGCACGTCAAGCCATTTCAAGGATTTCACTATCATGACTGCATTCTGTCCTTTGTTGTTCCTGGCGTCTACGTCCACCATGTCCTGTGAGAGGACATACTTCACCATCTCCACATTGGTTTTCTGACAGGCTAAGTGAAGGATGTTATTACCGTCTTTATCCACTAGCGTCACATTAGCTCCTTTATGCACGAGTAGCTCTACCACCCCTTTATATCCCTTCTCAGCTGCCCTCATCACCGGTGTCCTCTCGTACCATCCTCTATCGTTAACACCCACCATGTCCTGTGAGAGCACATACTTCACCGCCTCCAAATCTCTTTGCAAGCAAACCATGTGAAGGATGTTGTTACCGCTATTATCCACGAGTGACACATTAGCTCCCTTACTCACTAGTAACCTCATCACTTCTCTGTGCCTATTTCGTGCTGCCCTCATCACTGCTGTCTGCTTCATCCATCCTCTAGCGTCGATGTTCACCAAGCATTGAGACAGGACATAATTCACCACCTCCATTTCACCCCTCCAGCAGGCCAAGTGAAGGATGTTGTCACCGTTCTTATCCACGAGTGACACATCAGCTTCGTAAGTCACGAGTAACTCTACCACTTCTCTAAATCCCTTTATTGCTGCATTCATCACCGGTGTTCTACTATTCTGCCTGCAGTTAATGTCCGCCTGACCCACAGACAAGATGCGTCGCACAGCTGATAGGTCCCCGGATAAGCAGGCAGAGTGGAGTTTTGCGTCTGCTGGCGGGAGCCGCGGTGAGGCAGTCGGTGTTGCTGTAACACAATGCTGACTCTATACATCAAGATGAACAATATTTACAGACAACAGTCTATGTATCTATGTAAGTCTACTGGCCAATTACACACCTTCACATTGTCTGTATGTAAACCCTGGTAAGCTAATAACCAAGAAGAGGCTGAGGTTACGAAATTGTTGCTCTTCTGTTTGTCTCTACAAGTGAGATCAAGACAAAGTGGTCACTACCCAGGTCGGGATTGTTTGTTAACTGATGTGACATGTCGGCGATATTTGAAACTTTAATTGAACATGCCATGTCGGCAAAATGTGTACTTTGTACAACAAATGAAGTACAATTGATTATGTAAAACATTCAATGGAACCGTTTTGGAAATGAATGAATATTTCAATTTGAAGTAAGACTTTATAATTGTGTTCTTTGGTGCTTGCTCTTGATGTTTGTGAAAATCTGATGTTTAACTACACTGCCAGAATTAAATTCTTTTAAATTGTTGTGTGATCTCTCCTTGTTGTGCATGGAGACTGTAAACTAGTATCAATATCATATCATGGCGAGACAGTGAATGTCTTTGCTATGTCGTCACCTCTACACAGTATCTCGTAGCCACAATATATCATACTTGGATGATATATTTCAGACTATAAACCCCACACCCCTCACCCTACCACGGTCTGTAGAATACAAAACGCGACACGTAAATGCAGTCTGAACTCTTTAATGGCATTTTTAAGATTACGAATGTAGTAGCAAAGTTAAAAGGATAATAAAAAAAACCCAGAAGCATGCCCTATAAAGATTCCCAGTATCCATATTCATCTTTAAAAAATCATTTCAAACCCAGCAGGAGAATTGGTGAAATTATAGAAACAAGATTAAGGCGTATACTTCTCTGCTTGAGACATATACCTTGCACACGGACAGCTTTTCCCGATCCAATCTCCAGGCTTGGACGAGTCAGATTGCAGACCTTTGCTGTATAGTGTTTGCTTGAGACCTTGTGACAGCAATAAAAAGGAACTTGTGAGACTCTTATTTGCATATAATGTAAACGACCATGACACTTCACTAGTCAGCTGATGATATATTGGTTGAATTTGTTGTTCAATTTTATTTGATTATTTAAGGACACGATGCAAAGGACATTTTAACTATGTTAGAGATAACGCTTTTTTCAGGGAATTGCCATTTGCAGAAGTCATATGCTGACTTTCAAAGACCTTGGGTTTCTGCAATTCATAATCCCCTAAATGTAGCTTTCCTTTTACATTTGTTTATGAATAAATTAAGCATGTGTATTCAGCTTCATCATAAATGAGGTCATAACACACGCATGTTTTTAGAATCCATCATATATTTTTTTACGAGTCAGCTGATGATACATTGGTCGGTTATGCTCTGTTCCAACTCGTTTTGTAATAAAGTTGCAAAGTGTAATAATTATTACAAAACGGGTTGAGAGTCGTATTACAAAGTGAAATGCACATAGCAACCCGTTTTATAATAAAGTTGCAAAGTGTAATAAACTTGGTGAATGATGCTGAAAGTGTTCAATTGGCAGCCATAACTTGCTGATAAGTTCAATTAGGAACACAAACAGTATTTACGTTAAGATTGGTCGTCATCATATCTACTTTGAATGCAAAGTTGACCCAACATTGGAATCGTTTCAAAGTGTAATACTTATTACAAAACGGGTTGAGAGTCGTATTACAAAGTGAAATGCACATAACAACCCGTTTTGTAATAAAGTTGCAAAGTGTAATAAACTTGGTGAATGATGCTGAAAGAGTTCAATTGGCACCCAAAACTTGCTTATAAGTACAATTAGGAACACAAACGGTCCTTACGTTAAGATTAGTCGTCATCATATCTACTTTGGATGCAAAGTTGACCTAACATTGGAATCGTTTCAAAGTGTAATAATTATTACAAAACGGGTTGAGAGTCTTATTACAAAGTAAAATGCACATAACAACCCGTTTTGTAATAAAGTTGCAAAGTGTAATAAACTTGGTGAATGATGCTGAAAGAGTTCAATTGGCACCCAAAACTTGCTTATAAGTACAATTAGGAACACAAACGGTCCTTACGTTAAGATTAGTCGTCATCATATCTACTTTGGATGCAAAGCTGAGCTAACATTGGATTCGTTTCGAGTTGCCCCCCAAGCCCCCCCACCCCCCACCCCCCCTCTTCCCCCCCCCCCCCCCCCCTCCCCACGCACACACCTCGATTTCTTAAAAAAACATTTTTCCTTGTGAAAGTTAACTTGAGTTAAAAATGAATAATCTTCAATGAAACTCTTGATTTTGGAATTTGTGTCTTGGTTTACTTCCTCTTATAAGTATGAGAGAGATATTATCAGCTCAATATATCATCACCGCCAATCCTTATCCCAAGGAGAATGATGATTGTATCACATACGAACATTCTACAAGTAATCATTTTCTAAAAAATTTGGCAATTACAGTGGATACAATGTAAAGTAAAACAGAGAAAGATAAGAAAACCTCTGCTGTCACTAGTGTGCTTAGTTGGTATTAGAAATGTTAGTCTGTGTATACAATAATTCTACTCATTGCAGAATTTCCAGTAAATAATTTACATCGCCATATGATAAGGCACCCTTGTAAATATTTTAGTATTAGTTGACAAGCGTATTTGGCATATTTACAGTTCCTGTGCTTCAAGGTAAGATAATCACACCGGGACAGACCTACACACGCTTGAGATAAACATAACTTACACTGGGCTGATTCGTAGATCCGCCGATCTTCTCAGTCTTCTTTGATTCACCAGTTGATTGATGACAGGAGGCAAAAATTAAGGAATTTTTCATACATCTAACTTTGCACAACTTGAAGTCAACATTCCTTAATGTGACAGATCTGTTCTTCATTTCCCCTGACATCTGCAGTCCACAAGTCTTTGTATGGCATGTGGAAAGCCCAAACATGAGGTAAACAGTTGCTGTTAATGCCAGCTGCAGAATGCAACAGTTACTTGAACACACCAGCAGCATCTTGAAGAGTTAACAGAGGAGTGAAAGATCCACTAATTAGTTAGACGACTACCTGAACCAAAGTCTGGAGACTGCAATGCATCAGTTAAGATATCACCACCCGGTAGACTATACCTCCATTAACTACTTACTGACTGAACACTATTCTTTATATTGCTTCCGTTGTAAAGGTCCTACATAAATAAATCATAACTTCACAAAGTTTTCTGAAAGCCAAAGAGATTCGAAAAATATATACTGTGCAGGAAAGAAACGCAAAAGTGATTGTAGATGTATATTTTATATAGCATGTGGATACTGAACAAAGAGAGTGACAGTTTTTTTAAAACATATTTTTCATTTTTTTGTGTGAACATAGCATCAAATTTGAAAATGTCCTCAATATGTCTACAATAAAACTTTTTGAAAACTTTGTCTGAGCTTATGACGCTCTTTGAAATGTTGGTAGAAAGAGCATGCTCTATTGTATCTTAAAAGTTAAATGTAAAACCCCAAAGGCTGGAGCTGTTGGAATATTGCTCGACATGAAGGGAAAGTTGAAGTCATCCCTCCTGTCACACAGTCCTGTGGAGAGTGTTTTGTCACTCTGAGTCTTTATGCATAGATCTAAATAGAAGTGGACTTGGAATACAACCTTGACCGCTTCAAGAATCCAACTATTCGGAAATAACATTTGATACTTTATTACCTGCTGTTGTCTTAGAGTACATATCACGAATTATATTCAGCATGTTGCCTTTAATATCTTGTTAAGCTAACACAAACCATAAACGATCTTTATTGATGGTATCAATAGCTTTTTAAAGTCTTCGAATAAACAATATAATATATACCTAGATCTGGATAAATACTTCTGAATTGGTGATTGTAGAGTAAAGATATAATCAGCTGTAGAATAGCCACTACGAAATCCAGCTTGACACGCAGGGTTTTTGTTTAACAAATCTGCGAAAGGTTTAAGTCTTATTTAAAACACACGTAAATATTTTACCGTATATGCCCATTACAGAAATTCCTCTATATGTATTCACATAATTTGTATTGCCTTTATTATGAAGTGGGAAAATTATACTTTCAGATCAATGTAATGGAAAATCACCAGAATTAAAAATACTATTAAAATGAACTATGAGTATGGTAGAAATACATCATCTCCATGTTTCCACATTTCAGGAGGAATTCCATCAGGTCAAGCAGCTTTACCACATTCTAAAGAAGACAGTGCTTCAACTATTTCTCCTTTAAATATCTCTCTATTTAGAGCATTATGAGGATCATCATCAACCTGAACAGGTATAACTTGGAAAAGGTAATGTCGAGTAAAGGAAACAAAATTCATCATCTAACACATTATGCTGATATAAATTATGGTGATTTAAAAAAGTCAATCCACTGAGAACTATTTAGCATATGTATTCAATAATTGCAACATAGGTAAATAAGTTCTTTTCCAAAATCGCGAACGTCTTTATCTCTTAAAAGCCTTGGTATATGAAATGAATCTTCTATATCTTCTTTGAGAAGTATTTAGAAGTTTGATTACTAAGTAAGGATAAATCTTATGGATGAACAACTTATATATTACAATAAGGAGCGACATTTCAGTGTAGGTTCTAGTGAGTAAGTTAATATTTTACATCACATCGGCAGTAACTCAGCCGTATCGTGACATCGTGACACCGTTTTCAAGCAAGCGATGTTAGAACCTACACCAAAACGTTGCAGTGTTTCTTTACTTTGTTCAGACATTAAGAACTTCCTTTGGGACATATGTTCCTTCATATATTTGATGAACAGAGTGAACAGAGCAAATATCTTTATTCTTTAACCTGCAATTAGCTGGACATGTCGTCTGTTGACTGTTCAGGTCATAATTTATTGAAACTGCCCTAGTCCTAGGATATAATTACTGTTTCCAGAATGTCAATACTAGTAGCTCACCTGTCTCCATCTGTACATTAAGGAACGAACTTTCTGGAGATGCACTTCCATCAAACACTAGGTCCAAGTTCATTTCACTTATCACAGAATTCGATGATGTATTGACAAAAACATTGAAGGACAAAATGGTGCATCCAGAACATTCCAAGTATTTGTTAACATGAAACCAGTTCAACTTCCCCAACGCCTCTTTTAAAGTGACAAACTCTCTGAGGTCCAACAGAAGTTAAACGAACTGGAGTATATGGGAGTGTTCGTTCGACCAGAGGATGTCGGCATTCACGTGGAGTACCACAATCCGTCCTTTTTGGTCAAGAAGTCAAGTGCAAGTTACAGATTAGTGACTGTATTCTCTGATGTTAGCAGATATAGTAAGTCACAACGTGTCCTTCTGCCAGATGTGGACTACACACTCGGACTACATGGGTTGCTGAACACCTATTCTACCCCGGAATCTTCACGGGTCTTTAGAGAGAGGCTAACTTCAGAGCAGCATGCCGTTCTTAGCGTTGGATACGTCTGTTCTCATGGTCCCTTTTTGCGTTTTTTTTATTACAATAAGACCGAGGGCTTTCTGCATTTAGTCCTGGATACACTGCAATGTGAGAAAGAAGACTGTGGGTATCTCTCTGTACAGGGGAACAGTTATTACATCAACTGGGCAAGAAAAGACACACACTGATGCGGGAGGGAGCCCTGAGTCAAGCGGACTGCTGCTGTACCTCTTCATGTATCTTTCAAACGATATTGTAAAAGTGTTTGCAGAAATACCAATTTGCTTTCATACTGAAACTTCAAAGGAATTGGGGAGAAACTGGTTTCATTTGCATTTAATTTCTACAATACATCAACTTTTCCTGATGCAGTTGTTGATATAAAGAGTGAGGAGTCATGGTGATATGACAGGACACTGACCTACACCCAGTTTCACAGGGAAAACATCAGATTTGAAGCCAGCAAAGCTATTGCATGAGTACATAGAGTTATAAGAAAGACCTAGAACTCTCAATAAACTTATCATTGATGCTAAATTAAAGTAATTTTTAAAAAACCCATCAAGCCAAACAGGATAAAAGGCTTTCTCGTCATGGAGAAAGGCACAATAAACTGGTGTGTTTCGTTCGTTAAAGTATGCAATTCTTTCAGGAAGAGCTAGACCAGCCCTTTCAGTACCATCATTTATCTAAATCCAAATTGTAGGGGTGGGGAAAGGTTATATTGTTACGTGTCTATTTTCGAGTCTGTTGAGAAGGATTCTTTCGAAAAGCATACTAAGGACTGTAGTTAGAGTTAGCCACTGTAGTTAGGTGGATCACTTTTACTTTTTCCTCGACCCTTATGTACTGGTAAGAAGTCGCCAATATGATTCACTTTGGGGATGTATTCCTTTTTAATAATGGCATTGAATTATACCATAATATGCTTTGATCTTCCATCATACTTTTTATGTTCATTTGTGAGCCCATCAGAGATTTATTGTTTTTAAGCCCTTTAACTGTACTTAATACCTCTGTTGTAGCAAATGGTCTCTTCGATGGATATTTATCAGTTACTTCGTAATCAGCATCAAGGGTTAAGTTGTTTTCAATACTTGTGACTGAGCATATAACTTCATCAGGAGAAGACCGGTCAAAATTACTTCCATGGTTGGGATTGACAAGCCTCTAAAGTATATAGCAAGGATGCCACAAGTGCCTTCCGCGTTACTACTTTAATTATATTTATAAAGAAGTTTGTGTCCTTGGCCCTTATTTTTGTTATATGGTGTTGCAGTTTTAAAATATTCATTTATATCTATTTCAGCTGATCAGGGTTATCTTTTGGTCTGCTTTCTATGAGCGATTGTTTGGATCTGAGATGCGTTTTTTTTAAAACTATGCTTTCCTCCTTTATATTTAACAAAGTTATGATCATTCTTAGCATGTGATATGCCGTTCTCTAGCCAATATCGTCTTTTACTGTGCAGTTCATCATGTTCAGATTGTCTTTTTTCCTGTAGGGTTTGATTTTGGGTTTAAACTTATTTGACGGGACACTTGGGATACTAATATTCACTAGGGGATGCGAATTGGGACACACTGCATGTATTTACTAAAGTAATTTTCAGTGAGTGAGTTGGGTTTAACGCCGCTTTTAGTAAGTTTCAGTTTAATAACGATACAACATAACATCAATATCACA